TATTTTCAGCCAATCTCGATATGTCCTTAATGTCGACACCTAATTCCTCGAGGAAGCTCCTTGTTCTTTTTGGGATAGTTCCGCGAGACCCAAACCAGAGGCCTCTCACGGTGAACTCTCTCTCTCCGAAGGTCTCACGGAATTTCTCTTTTAGGAAAGGGATACATTTATCGTAAGTGTTCATCTTTTCCTTTTCCACTTCACCCGCCTGATCGAGGTCATTGTTTCCAAAGCGGACAGTTGGATCCAAGATCAGCGCTGTCCTTCCTGTCTTGGGAAATGCGACGATATCCACGTATCTCGTAGAGCCTTCAGTATCGATGCAATATATCTCGTCAAAGCAGATGAATTTCTTTTCCCTAACGAGCCTCATCAACTCGAACTTGACCCGGTGGTGACGACGTGTTATGAAGAGGGAGTTGTTGGGGCATTTTCCCAGCACATGGGCTGGTGTTTCAGACTCTCTGCCGCATTTACGGCAGAGGGACCCAACTTCTCTGACCTGTCCGCTGACTCCTGGGACTCCACGCAGGGGTGCATAATTAATGTTTAGTTTTAGGGCATTCGGCCATTCAGACCCAGAAAGTACTTGTTTTTCATAGATGTATCTATTCGCTTTCGGGGTCTCTTTAAAATGGCGAACACCAATACCCTGCCGTAGAGCTTTCACATTTCGATGACCCTGATCAACCCCCAATCTCTCGGCACATTCAGCAATTTCAGCTGAATAATCGAAGGTAGACTGAAAAAGGGCATCTGGTACATTGGACAGTCGCTGAGCAATGGACCAATATTGAATAGGAGCCTCCCATTGGCAGCGGATTAATCCCAATCGTCGGTATCTCCTAGGGGGCATACAACATCGCTGTGGAACTATTTGCAAGGAGTCCAATAATGGCCTTTACTCTACTGCGAATCATAGTGTCGATGCCCTCCAGGATAGCAGGACGTAGCTTTTATAGGGGCGTAGTTTGGAGAGGGTATATATACAGTGCAGTTACCGAGTGCACAATTACAGCGATTTTAGAAATATAACATTAGAAAATGTGTAGATTAATGTATATACATATTAATATTTTATTTTATTTGTGTCTAAAAAGTGATTTTTATGTAATTATTCAAAATTGTTATCATAATTAAATCATTATTATTTATATATAAAACCGTATTGTAGTATATTATTTTGCATGGAATCAATTAATATCAATGATCGATTTAAATTGTATTTATAAATCATGCATAATTTTAAAATTAAAAATCAAATATAATAATTATTACATGACTTTGTGGAAAAAAAGTAATTATTGATTTAAAAGTTTGCTAGAAAAAGAGGAGAAAGTTCGATTTACGTTATATGTTAGTCTATCTAAGATAATTGATCATTTCGTAACCACCAGATTAAAGTAACGAATGCACAATGTTAAATTTTGGATTAACCATTCGGGACTACTATTCATTGAATATCTTAATTAGAATTCGATTGTGAATATCATACATATTGATTATTGTTTTAATATATGCAAATGAATATAAGAGGTCAAGGCGGACATCTTTATTGATGTTCACATTAAAGACAAGTCCTCACATGGACTCAATGTTAAAAGGGATTCTTTAAATAAAAGGATTCCTCAATGCAATGCTAAGTGTTCGAAAAAATATTCGGTTAAAATACTATTTCGCTGGTACTGTCCACGGCAGCAACTGCCATTATGTACTACCAACCGTTAATGCTTATATATTTCGCTGAAACTGCTCACCGTCGCAACCTAATCCTCTCAATTTAGCCCAAAAACGTACTATTTTCGAGATAACGCAAGGCATGGGGTTCACATCCACACAACCTGACGTTAATTGTAGTACTGTCATTGGATACATGTCTCATTTCGTCGACTTGAGGTCTCAATGATCGAGACAAGAGGAGTTTATATTATTTATCGATGGTGTTTTTGATCGGCAAGCCATACGTCAATTCTTCACCAAATCTCAAGATAGAGCCACCAATTTCGAAGGCTTCCTTCTCCTTCAGGAGGGCAAAATAATCCAATCACCCCGAAAATTCAGGCAAACAAGTTATTAAAAAAAAGAAACTTTATTTGCGAATAACTAAAAAATCACACACTTTTCCCTTGGTCATTCCCATGGTTATATAAAGCATTACTAATTGTCTACAAAAGGAAAAAAAAATCATTGAAATCGGACAATTTTTCGCTAACATACATCTTATTGAAATTTGTATGTAAACAAAAATGAAGATTTAAATTAAGTTTGTTCCTTTTGTTGATTATATTTATGGATAAAGTAACAATTGATTCCTTTATCTTTTGATACGTTGCATTATTTTATTTTCTTATTAATTTGGCATTTGATAACAGTATGCTGTGCGAATTTTTTTCACGGGCCTACTAGTTTCTATTATTTCTGTAAGTGTATATATTGTACAAATGAGTTTCTTATATCTCAAAAAAAGTTTATGTCGGTACTATGAAGTGTCAACAATTATTTAAATATTAATTTCCACCTTCTACAACATGATTGTTTCTTGTAATATTTTCAATATAAAATATAAGCTTCATAATAGAAAGAATGTGAAAAAATATTATTTTTAGAATTGAAGATGTACTCTGATTTCAAATTTATTAATTTGATTTGTAATTGTAATTAATTATATTTTATATGTTTTATTAATGGCAATGTTTTATTAATATGTAATTAGGTAATCAGCACTTTAATTTAAAAAAAAAAAGGTGTGTGCTTTAGATCACACATTACAGTGAAATCATCAACAAGGCAATATTAATAACTTTTACAATAAGCAAATTGGCTAATTCATATTAAATACGCTATGGGTAACCATGAAACATCCAATCCATAGTGTTTCATCCTTGGAAATGATATCTCTTTCTGTTTATTTACAGGTTCTGTAATGTTTGAAGTTGAGGGTCTTCCGCTCGATTAATGATAAAAAATATGTAAATAAAGCAATATATATATATATATATATATATATATATATATATGTGTGTGTGTGTAAAAAAAAAGGCTTGAGCAGCGGTGCTTGGTCACCAAGGTTCTATTATTCACTTATTTTTAATTTTTAAAAAATAGAAAGGGATTAAATTATTTCATTGGCGTTAAATAGAGAAATAAATGTTTTATTAATTATTACCCAATTGTTCATTAAATTCAAATAGTTATAAGTTCAATGTGTATAGCGAACGGCATTAACTACCACAGCAACACACAACTTTCACTTACCGATGTACTTTGAATAGAAATTATTTTCTGGCAATGCTGGGCTATCATAAAGTGCGTTTTAAACGGACCTAAAGCTTGAAGCTTACAGTTAACAAGTCATTAAGACCTTTATAATTACAAAATGTCTATTTAATATATCGACGACAGACAATAAAAATCTAGTCACTCCATCTGCTTTTATAAACCATACAACTTTCTTTGCTTTTATAAACCACAGAATGGCTAACTCAAATTTCAACATTTTTGAGTGATGTCATTTAAATGATATTTTTAGTTGAAAAAATTATCTATGCAGACAATGAGTAAGTTGATTCCAGAGGTGGTGATTGCAGTGTTGAAATATAGAACTCAGAATAAAGGTATAAATTTAGGTACTTATTTCTTATGAAAAATATTCTTAGGAAAGATAATTTATTAAATATCTGCAGAAAAAAGGTTTTTTTTAGTCTCAACAATTAAAAAAGTATATTTTAAATTTATCCAAATTTTCGCCTCTTCAGGGAAAACAACTAGAGACCATATCTTTCCTCCTACATGTCGGATCTTAACGATTTTTTTTTTTTGGATTTTTAGGAAATTCAATAAACTTTTAAAAAACCATGTAGTCTGCATGAACGCTGGTTTTTCTTCATTTTTATTTTTTTTTCTCCTTTATTAATTTATCAAATTCTTTCAAAAGTTATATTTAGCATTTTTTTATTACTTTGAATAATGTGAAATGATTAACTTTTTAAAATAAACCATATTAAAGATACTTTAGAGGAAGACGTATATGAACATTGGGCATTTAAGCCCTGTAAAGTGACATCAATGGGGATAAGACCTAATTGATATTAAAGACCACTTAATTATACAATGATACACCGAGTTTAATCAAAATCGTTAGTTCCGTTTTGAGAAAATTGTGAAAATGTGTTTCTGCGTTGAAATAAAGTGGCACTTCCGTTTAGCCGAATTTAAGGAAAAAGTTGCCGTCACATCTAAGGCAACCTATCTTAAATACGTAATATCAGTTTCGTAGGACTTTTCGTTTTTGAGCTAGACTGCTAACATACAAACACACAAATCATTTTTCGGGACTTGGTTATTTCGACTCACAGTACCTCAAAACGCGTATTTCCGTTGAAAACTCAGATTCAAAAATTTTCTCGATCGCAATACTTACTCTTACTATATATTACATATATACGTAAGTGAAAGTAAAAATATACACAAAAATTAGGACGTGTAAATACCTTTGCCGATCCTTTCCGTTTATAGATACTCTGTATAGGTCGTTCATGTTGTTATTTTAACTTTTATACATCACTTATCCATAGTTTTTAAAAAAGATTTTCACGCGAAATTTTGACGATTCACTAATATAAATCTAAATATATACAATACTTACAACGAGTTTCGTGATAAATGTTACCGATAAAACTCTTGTTAGAATTTTTTCAAAAGATCCATTTTCCCCTACAATCATTAGTATATTCGTTTCCACTTAGACTTCCCTATATATGAAAATACCAACTACTCTAAGGTTGGTAAGTGAAAGTTTTGTGATGTGCGCACGGCACAGATTTTTTAACGAAATTTGAGTTGAACCCCAACTTACTTATTAATAAATCTTATGCTTAATTAATACGACCTTAAAGCTTATTAAACTCGTTTTTTCATGAATTAGAAAGCTTAGTTGTAATACATATTAGAAAGTGTATCGAATTTTAAGTAATTTTTATTGAATTTCAATTTCATTTCAGGTATAACAAGATGGACTTTGTAAACGAAGGGTGGGAAAATGGACCAACCAGCAAGAGAGAACTCATGGAGCCAGGGAAGATCAAGAAGGATAACATCTTCATCATGGCCTACGGGATGGCTTATTTCTTGGTCTTCGTAATTTGGGAGTTATTAGCAGCCTTATTTTCCTTCCTCTGGAGGCTGATCGTGAGGCCAGAACCGAAGTCACTCAAAGGAAGGGTGTGCTTGGTGAGTATTGCAGACTTGGTATTAATGACTTCTTTGGTATTAGGCAACCACTGGCACCGTCGTTGTAAATTACTGGTCTAATAATCTTCTATCTCTTCCTAGGTGACTGGGTCAGGCCGGGGTCTTGGGAGAGAGTTCTGCCTGGCTCTGGCGAAAGAGGGAGCTGTCATCGCCTGCGCTGACATTAACGAAGCCAACAACAAAACGACAGCAGAGATGGTGCAGGAGTTGGGAGCCAAAGCAGTCGCCTACAAGATCAACGTAGCCATCAAGTAAATATCACTGCAATAGATATGCTCAATAAAGAGTAAGGGGTTCCAAACTTGTAGGGCTGCTGGACACATCCAAACTTCAGCTGACAAAGGGAAAGTTAAGGACGTGGGGTCGCCCATTGCAATGAAACTATATTTGGTAATAATAGGTAGGAAAATATTAGACAGAAGTTCCTGCCAATGCGCCTTAGGAGACGATAAAAACATATATTATTAAATATTTAAAAAAAATTATATTATTGATATTTGTATTTGCTGAGCATGGATTCCGAGAAGTGTAGTAAAGACATTCGTCTAGCACCGACTCACGAATTCTCTGCTCTAGATCCTTTAGCCTCGAACCTTCAATGTGTTTATCTTTTAAAAAAACTTAAATTATTGTAACTTTGTGCATTTTCTTATGTTACACCAGTGTCAGTACCTCAACACTCCTTTCATCACGGCAACTGCCACTGATCTCATTAATAATATCAAGATCCCGACCCTCTGACCTATACATCCCTTCTCATAGATCTGCCTCATTCCAAAATTCTTTTATAGCCCGCTCTGTCAACTTTTGGAATTCCCTCCCGATCAAATTTCGACATGCCCCTTCCCTGTACACATTCAAAAACCTCCTATTCCAATTCCTGTTCCAAAAACAGTCAGATACCAGCTAACTATTAATATTATATATGTATTGTGTAGCAATCATATAATCATAACACTTGGTAAGAGATAGTACATGCATTTCCTACTATCGACGTAGGAATTTCAATACATACTTTTTTTTTTTTTTCTTTTTATTCAATTATAAGTAATTGTTTATTTTTATATATATATTCAAGTAAAGTTTTTTTTTTTTTGGTTTTTTTTTTTTTTATGAAATGAACTCATTGTATCTCTTTTTCGTTCTTCATTTCTCAAAGTGTATGTTTATGTTGTTCAACCCTTAAATATAATTTTGTTCATAGTTCAAGTGATTCGTTCATAGTTTTAATTGTTTTGTTCATAATTTTAAATGCTCTGTACATAGTTTTATCTGTATTGTATATAGCTTGTGCACCTAAGGTTTTCTTTACTTTTTATTTTATTTTATTTTATTTTATCAATTTTATTTATTGTTTCAACGTTCAGGCCAGTAATATTCTATTATTTTGTACATTATTGTTATTCTGAAGGGACTTAGTCCCAGAATAAAGTTTTTTTTTTTTATCTACCTATCTAATATTCATGACAGTCTGATTCTAAACTTCAATCCACTTACTCAAGCTCTATGTACTGCCGCAAATCCATATAATCCGCCCAGAAGATTGCTATGGCGCTCGCCAAAAGACTTATTGCATTGAGCTACTTGCATAATACAGCAAGTGTGTTATTATGTATGTGTTATTTTACTAGTTTTTTTTTTTTTTTGTCTTTTTCTTTTGTTATTACTATTCTTTTTAATATGCTATCATTTCTTCTCCTTGATGTCATATTAGCTGAATACCTAGGTAGATGACAAATTATTATGAGCCAGGAATATATATTGTTCATTTTCTTGAAGGTGTATATATATATATATATATATATTTTTTTGTCAAATTAACAATATTAATATATTTTCGAAATATAATGTGAATAAATTTATAGAAAAAAATAGGTAAGGCTCGAGCCAATCCTTTTACCGCTATCGGGACTCGACTCTTGGCCGATTTATTTCTACTATTTATTTAGTCGATTTACTTACTTATTTATTTTATTTTTTTATTGGCCTCATAATTTTATAAATAATAATTCTATTGTTGTTATGTTATGGTTTATTATTTTAAATGATGAACCATTGTGATCAACCGAAAAATTCAAAAACTTAACCATCTCTCAAAGTTTGAGATTTTACGTTTCAGGATACTTAGAATTTGAAAAACGAATAAAAATGTTTGTCTGTCCGCCGTCCGCGCATTTCCTCCGAAACTACTGGACTGATTTTTTTCAAATTTAGATATAAAATCAGAGGTCACCCGAGGATGGTCCTCCTTCATCGATTTTACTATCCGCCTTTTACTTTCAAAATGGCGGACGAAAAACCTGCGTTACTATAGACTGTAGCTCCTAAACGAATGTAACGATTTCAATGAAACTTCGCTAGTCTTCTTCTCGATGCTCTTTAAATTTATCTATATAACATACTTCAAGAAGCTGGAAAAAAAGTTAATAGATAAAATTAGATTCGGAATAATTCAAAAAGTATACACTTTTTTGTGGATCTTTATGGTTTTTTAAAAGTTGACGGAATTTCCAAAAAAAAAATCGTTAAAATCGGACAATTAGAAGCAAAGATGATCCTTCTTCATCGACATTACTATCCTCCTTTTACTTCAAGAATGGCGGCCAAAAAATCTGCGAGCACAACTTTGGGGTATGCTCTAAGGTGTGGCATGCCATCCTCTCCAGTTCGGACCAAAGCCGATAATCTAGTGGGTTGAGATCATGGCTTTCTGGAAGCTAATGTTGCCTAAAATCAGCCTACCAAACCGACCAAGTTGCAACTGTTGCAAGACCAAGACTGGTTAAAAAATCGATTTTTTAAATAAAAATTAAGGCAAAATATTTACTAATACTTTACAATCTTAGTTACTATATGTTAATAATTGATATAACCAATATAATTTTGCATTTAACTCTTCTAATTTTTCATTCGGGCTTAGTTAGGTTTCTCCTATCTAAAAAATTACAGTAACATCTCTATAGCAATAAGCTAATAAGTAACTGCAAAACTGTTGCGAGACTCTTGCGCAAGACCAAGACCATGACATAGACTGAGTTTGCAAGAGCAAGACTCGTCTCGGTCTTGCATTTGGGCAACACTACTGGGAGCCAATCCGAGACAGAGATGAACTCTGGCATGTTCTTATGCAGCCACTGCTGAGTTGACCTGACCTTGTTAGCTGGAGCGAAATCCTACTGGAAAATCCAATGATTTAAAGCAAACAGTATCATTTATAGGCTTGACAACAGGTTCCAAAATATCGTCCTGATATTTTTTAGCGTCTGTTTTAATTCCTTTTTTCTCACAAATGGAGCTTTGTGGTGCCATCAAAGCAAATTCCCCACCAAACCATAACTAAGGAAGAGTGGTGACCTATTTCCACTCTTTCAAAGATTTCCTGCGCTTATTTAAAGCTGTGTGCGTACACACGATCATTTTGGGAATTAAATTTTTTTCTTCAATTGTAAAACTTTTCTCATCGATAAACAAAATCTTTCGATGAAGACCAATGGTGTAACGGCCAAGGAGAACCTTACATCTATCCACTATAATTTCCTTTAGGTAAGTGGTTAGCTTTTGTTCTGTTTTTCGTCTAAATGCACCCATTCTAAGGTCACTTTTTATTATGCGAGACATTCATTTGACAGAGATTCCCAGAGACATGATTTGTTATTTTCGAATGGGATTTCTTCTGATTCGAGCAGCCACTGCTCTCACTGCAATTGCCGTTCTCACAGTGCTGGTACGGCCCGGTCTGTCACATACAGATAGGGTCTCATTATATCTATTTACAGTGAAGTACCCGAACGTACGGCTGATACCCAAAGGTTTCAAAGTGTTTAAAATCTCTGGCCTACATTTTCCAACTTTATGAAAGCCACAGCTATTCGGTTTTCTTTATCACCCCATTCCATATTAATTAATCAAAAGGAAAATAAAACTAATGGAGATTATTATCCTGTAGTAAAGATGTAAGACAATAACCTCATAGAGATAAGGATCTAAATAATACCCAAAGATATAAACAAAGTTCGACTTTTGTAACAATCTTTATAGCAGAACTAGGTATTGGTAGTACCGATGGTAGTGAGGTTAAAAAGAAAAAATAGTGTAGAAAACCAAGTGATAACGGTAATAAATCAATTCCAACTGATAATAGTTGTAATGGAGGAATTAAATGAATACGAGCGCGCCCGAGCTCAGCCGAAAGAACAGGCTTCGTAACATGAGCTTAATATAATATGGACTCCGACAATATTATGTACATATACATATGCACTTTTCATAAATGCTATTGTAGGTATTGTTTAATATTTTATTGTATAGATTACAGAGATATAAATATCAAAATTTGTATATATCTTCTTCTTCTTTGTCTTCCTCTTATGCCATTAGTTAGCGTCGAGGAACCTCGTAACCATTGTTCCCGGTCCCTGCTTAGCCGCTTTATCTCATTGAAGGTTTTGCCTTTTTTACTTCCAATTCTTTGGATATACTCTTGGTATGTAATTCTGGGGCGTCCGCGTGGTCTCCTTCCTATGGGTCAAGCCTCTAATATCCTTATAGGATTCATGTTCTCGTTTATGCGGCAGACATGTCCAAACCACTGGAGTTGCCGTCTTTCTAGAGTAGTTTCAAGTTCGGTAATCCCCAGTTACTCTCTGATGATTTCGTTCCTAATGCGATCCCTTCTAGATCTCCCAACAGATCTGTGAAGGAACCTCATTTCTGCTGCCGTTATGCGACTAGAGTGCCTATCCAGTATTGTCTAGCTTTTTCCGCCGTAGGTAAACAGACTTATATACATGCATTTTGGTCTTCTTGTCTACTTCGCGGTAGCCGATGATGCTATTAGTAGTCTGGTAATATATTTGATTCGCCTTGCATATTCTGTTTGATATTTCGACGTCTATCTTACCCGAGCTACTAACTACGGTCACTAAGTAGGTATATTCACTCACTACCTCACGTGTCTCGCCATTGCAGATCAGTTGTACATCTTCCCGTTCTTCCCTCGCCATAACCAGCACTTTAAGGAGGTGTTAATTTGCATCCCTTTTCTGAGCAACTCTTCTTCCCATTCTACCAAAGCTTGTTGTAGTTTGGTCTTGGTGACGGCTATTAGGACTATGTCATCCGCATATAAAAGGCTTTGTACGAGGACAGTTCCAATATTCCATTTCACAATTGTTGTCCACGTAGTTCGGCGCTTGCAGATTTTGTGGATTTCATCCATTACATTTATAAATAGAAGGGGACTTAAGCTATCTCCCTGTCTAACTCCTCACGCAATTGGAAAAGGTTCCGATGCCGTACCATTTATTCTTACCACTGCCATGGCTCCTTGGTAGGCTGACTGTATGGTCACCAGCAAGTCCAGGTGCACCCTTGGCTATTAGGGTATCCTGCCCTTCCACAATCCGCCGGAGTCTCCTTTCTAGAATAGAAGTGTAGAGTTTATAAACTACTGAAACCAAACTTATGGGTCTATGATTTTTGCAGTCTGTCGTGCATCCTTTTTTTTATAAATCGGGAGGATTATACAATATTCAAAGTCCCTGGGAATTTTCTTTCTGTCATATACTTCTTGGAACAGCGATTTAAGTGCTTTAAGAAGTTCTTGACCACCATATTTCCAATACTCTGGTGCAATTCCATCCCTTCCTGATGCTTTACCTCTTTTTAGCTTAAGGATTGCATTTTCTATTTCTTTTTCCTTTATAACCTGCAGACTGTCTTGAATATTGGACTCTTGTTCTTGGCAATGGTCTATTTCTCGGTTTTGGGAGAATTGTTCCTGGAAATACTGCTTCCATGTGCCAAGAATTTTTTTCTTGTCTGTAAGTACGGTTCCATCGCTACCTTTTACATTTCTAATGGGGTTGCTTTCCTCTTAACACTTTAACTTTTCGGCAAAATGTTCTTATGGGTCCAAATCTATATATATAAGGGTATTTAAACAAATAACATCTACAATGAAAAGTAAATAAATATTGCGTCTATAATTTTTGCTTTTACTTCTCCTTTGTCTGAAAATACTTATTTCTGCTAAGAAGATTGTGGTAAGCGAAAGTTGTGGGATTTTTTTAAAGATATATACAAAGCGCATAATTATTTTCTAATTTTATAGTATTAACGACAAACATATCACAAACATGTATACATAATCAACGTTTAACTTTTGACTTGAGCTTTGCTAAATAGTATTCTTTGTATTCCATTTTTTTTTTTTTTTTATTCTACATAAAGAATTATTCTGTTTAAAGAATTATTTAAATCAGAGATTGAAAATAATTAATCAAGTCCAAAATCACTGTATAATTTCCTCAAAATAAACAATTATGTTAAGCGATAGAGGGCTCGAAAGGTGATTCTCGTTGCGGAACCAAGTTATGAGCTGCTTGGAATCGATGACTTATCCATCTTCTTAGCACAGATAAAAGCCATACAAAGATGAATGTGATTATAGGAAGAAAGAATCCTTCAAGAACAATTGAAATTGTGGGGGCTGGTCTACTCCAATCCAGTGATTTGTAAACATAAGCGTTTCCATTCGAGTCAGTTCCATCACACAAGAAATATATAACGCTAAATGCATAATATAATAATAAATAAAACAATGGAAAAACAATGTCAACCAGCTTTACAGGATGAGCAACCATCATCAGATCTATCAGCATTATAATTGAATTACAAATGTGAGATGATATATCGGTTACACTCATTGTATGGATTTTAGGATTATAAAGGAAACACCAGTAGTATGATGTTACAGCGAATGCAATCGCGATGGCAGTGGACTGTAATGCTCCATACATTCGCATAAATATCCCAGATTGTTCCAATGATCTTCCTTTCCGCATACAGTAATATGCCTTGGTCACAATAAAGGTGCCAAGAAATGCTTGAACACAATAAAGAATCAGAGACCAGTTTGTTAGGTAAATCAGCCATCTTGTGGATCTAGTGGTCAGCAATGATAACAAAAGAATAGAGACTAATATAATGAAATGTAGCCACTTGTAAATAAGGTAGCCAATGCTAACATCATCTGTTTTATTTTCCCACTGGCATTTATAATACAGAAATGGTTCTTCTTTTTCAAGTGAACTTATTTTGCTTCTTAGTTTGGTAAAGAGAGAATCCATATTCCTTTCAGTCAAACACTAATTATCATCGGATATTTTGTTGTTGTTTATATTCCAAAATCTTTGTTTAGGCGAATCTGAGCTTAGCAGCGTACACCATTGTCACTAAAAACATAAGGGATTCTCATCATATATGAATATTACAGTTTTTTTTTTAATTAAATCTCCGCTTTTTAATATAAAAACGTTTCTTTTGACCTTCTTGGAGAATCTGAGCGCATTTCGTTACTATTTTACTGTAGAATCTTTTGCAGATCAATCCCACCAGTTACTTTTTAATAGTAACCTGTTATTTTATATGATTAAACTAACACATGAGATTGAAAGTATTATATTATAATTAACCTAATTCACATTTTAAAAAAATGCTATTTACATGGTCATAACTTCTTAATACTTATAATATTTATACTGGTGATATTTTCTTAAACAAATCTTTCTCTGGTTTCTTCTCCACCAATGTGACATATAGTCCATCATATTTCTGGCTGTACTACATTCCTTCTCCCTTCTTCTCTTTGCAGCAGCCCGCATTGCCTCCACACTTAAGGTACGCGCTCCAATACTAGGATCTATGAAATTCTATCAGGAAATATTCTCCTAATATGATATTTCCACTTTGAAAAGCACGATTTATCAACCTCAACAAAGCCCTCCATCCAATTTTGATTGGATTGTTCAGAACGTTGCTTGCACCAACCTCTCATAGATAATTCTTCCAATCCGTTATAGTAAGTTCTGCCACACTTCCTTATGCATTCTTTCTGCATGTCAATGGTTTAAATAGTTCGTATATATTAATTTCCCTATCTATCTACCAAAATATTTCACTAGATATGGAAGTACATTCCCTTAAGTTTTATAGAATTTCCCAATTTCTATAGTCGGGTTTGTTTGATTTTTTGTTTAATATAATACATTTTTATTTTTTCAAATATTAACAATTCATTTTCATAACATATGATCACACAGAATATCGTTTCAAATCAATTAATAATCGAGATATTTAAAATATAATACAATTTTGGTTTATTATTTTCAATAATGAACTATTGTGATCGAACAAAAAAATCAAAAGCCTAATTCCCTCTCAAAATTTAAGTTTTTACTTTTCAGGATATGTAGAATTCGAAAAACGAATAAAAATTTGTTTGTCCGTCCGCCGTCCACGCATTTTCTCCAAAACTACCGGACCGATTTTTTTCAAATTTGGCTTTAAAATCAGAGGTCACCCGAGGATGATGCTCCTTCATCGACGTTTCTATCCGCCTTTTTTTCAAGATAGAGACCGAAAAAATGCGTTCCTATAGGCTGTAGTGCCTGAACGAATGTACCTGTTTCAATGAAACTTCGCTAAAGTCTTATTCTCGATGCCCTTTAAATTTATATATATAACATACTTCAACGAAAATGAGCTGGAAAAAAAGTTGCTAGGGGTGGTAAAATTAAATTTCGAATAACTAATAAATAATGGTTATTTAAAAGTTTACGGAATTTCCTAAAAAACAAAACAAATCGTTAAAATCGGACAATTAGGAGCAAAGATATGGTCTCTAGATTTTTTTTTATTTTTTACAATGCAAAAGTTATTGGTTTTGGTTGTTTTGATTTTGTTTTTTGAATGTGTTTTTAAAGTAATGCTAATTATTTTAGCATATTAATAATGATTAAAAAAAAAATGTTTAGTCCAATAATTGGAATCACTTTTTATTTCTTTGTCACTAGGAAGATAATTTTACTTTAGATGTATAATTATAAATACTAACGAGTAACTTTTTAGAAAATTAAATTAGTAAAATAATTTAAATTTTAAATGTTCAACATGTCTTCCTCTAAATTACCTTTAAATTGGTTTACTATAAATAATTAACACATTATTAAGAATTATGAAAAAATACAAAATATAACTTTTAAAATAATTCGATATTTTAATAAAGGAGAAAAAAATGCTTATTCAGGTGGAAAATGAATTTCCGGAAACACTAATCAAAAGGTATACGTATAATATATCGTTGAAAAGCGGAGAATTTTAGGAAATACAAATATTATTATTATAAAAATATTTCTCTAAAGTACATGTCGAAAATTAATATCCGGAAATAGTAGTCATAAGGTATACGTATCGTTAAATATACCGTTGGAAAGCGGAGAATTAAAAAAACAATATGTAATATCGAAAGTTGTAGACGATAACGGAGAATGGCTAACAAATATAAATAATAATAATAATAATATAATAAATTTATTTATTGAGAAATTTTACAAATGCCTTTTGGCATATTTTGTAAATGTGATGTTCGTTAGCGAACCTCCTCTTCGGGATTAGCGTGAATGCGTGATTGGAGAAGCCTCCCAGTGAAGGCACTCCTAACGTGACTCTTAATGCAGCAGGTCCCTGCTCCAGAGGCGTTTGAGTCTCCTTGGTGGATTCTGTGGTAGTGTGTCCGTTAGTAATGTTTGTACAAGTGGATTAGGATGTCCAGCTAGGGAGTCATGGAAATTTTTGTAATATTTTTTAATTACATCAGTCACTTGTGGTGTTTGTAGGTCTTTATGAAGTGATTTATTGGTTATGTAGAAGGGACAATGAGTGATATAACGGAGAAATTTTGATTGGAAAATTTGAATAGTCTGTAGGTCTGGTCTGAGTAGCATGTTGTATATAGTAATTTTGTTAGAAAGTGATAGTTTGTTTTTATGGTGTAGCATTCGTCTTAGTAGTGACAATCGATGGTTCAATCTCTTTTTTAATGTTGTCACATGTGATTTCCAGGTCAGTCGTCTGTCCATTGTGAGTCCTAGATATTTTGTCTCTGTATGATTTGGCAAAGGGTGTTATAAAGTGTCAGTGGAGGGCAATCCGAACGTTTAAGTGTAAATGTAACCTGATTTGATTTATGAATGTTAATTTTAATGCGCCATTTATCAAGCCAGTCTTGTAGAAGATTTAAATGAATCTGTCCTTTCTGAGATGCTGTGATTGGATTAGAGTCAGTCGAGAGTATGACAGTGTCGTCTGCGTAAGTTGTCTGAGTAATGTGTCTGGTGTCTGTGGAATATCAGAAGAGTAAATTGAGTACAGAACCGGACCTAAAATACTGCCCTGCGGTACTCCAGCGCCGATTCGGCAACAATATAAATAATAATCTCTAAAAACTAACATTATTTAACGTAAATCACATGTTTTTAAGGGAATTAAATGAAATTTTCTCACTGAATGTAAACTTTAAAAAATATTTTTAAATTTGGCAAAAGTATATTTACACGGAATCAAGACTATGAAATTATTTAAAATACTATTTCATGGTAATAGTGTGAAAGAAGAAGGCAAATATAAAATCATTTCATGGATGTATAAAGCATATGCTTATAACCTTAAATACATTTATAAGCTTACATTAGTGAATAATTTGATGAATTTTCCATTTGTGAAATCCTTTGTGGAAAAAACATTATCCACTTACAAGTAGTGTGGCAACTTTTGACCTACCCATGGCAAGACAATGGAAATCTCGTAATTTTGTTTTAGTAAACTTCACAGGAAAATATCAGGTTAATAACTAATAGTTCTACAATCCATAATCATTTATAGGTTGAATATAGAGATATACTTTCTAATCTCTCCAAGTTAATAAGGCTGTCCCAGGAACTAGAGTGGGGTTTGTAATATTTAAGTAAGTAGTTTCAATCAGGTGAAAATAAAATATTCTTACTCAATAAAGGAGGAGGAAAGTAAAGTAGAATTTAAAGACCCTTTTTTTTTTTTTTTTTTTAATTCATCTGATTCCTTTTCAGAAAAGATGTTGAAGAACTTGTCTCCAAAATAGAGAAGGACCTGGGACCTGTCTACCTGCTCATCAACAACGCCGCTGTGGTATACTCAACACCTCACATTGATGAAGAATTTATCAGAGCTTCCTTTAATGTTAACGTTATGGGGCCTATTTGGGTAAATACAACTTGAGTTAAATCAATAGGCTAAATAAAATCGCTTATATTATAGTCCAATCAAATTAGACATGTTACCTTGCAAGTGGTCGAGTTATTCAAATTTCTTTTTTACTTTTACTTACCTATATATGTAATATACAATAAGAAAATGTATTGCGATCGTGAAAATTTTCGAATCTCGGATTTCAACGGAAATACACATTTTGAGATATCATTACACATATGAGAGGTATGTGTGTGTACAGTCTAGCTCAAAAATGAAAAGTCGTAAGAAACTGATATTAGTTATTTAAGATAGTTAAATCCACAAGATCTTACAGAAACTTTTCCCTGGAAATCGGTAAACCGGAAGTGGCACTTTATACGTACGATAATACACATTTTTACGACTTTCTCAAAAAAAAAGCTATAACGATTTTGATTAAACTCGGTGCATCATTATATAATTAAATGATCTTTAATATAATTGAGGTCTTATCCCCATTGATGTCTCTTTACAGGGCTTAAATGCTTAAATGTTCAACATGTCTTTCTCTAAAGGACCTTTAATTTGGTTTATTATAAATAATTAACTCATTATTAAGAATTGTGAAAAAATACTAAATATAACTTTTAAAAGAATTCGATATTTGAATGAACAGAAAAAAAGAAAAATCCTTATCCAGGCGGAAAATGAATCTCCGGAAATACTAGTTAGGAGGTATACGAATAATATATCGTTGGAAAGCGGAGAATTTTAGGAAATACAATATCTAATATTGAAAGTCGTAGAAAGTAATAGAGTGGGACGAAAAATGATAAATAATAATTTTTTCAACCTTTTTTTTTTTATTGATGATATTTACAACTGTATTACAAGCAAAAATACATTCAGTAAATGTGAACAAAGGAATAAAAATAACACTATTACATCATTTACATCATTATATACTAAACCTACAATTAATCTTCAAGCTGCTGTCTGGTTCTCATTATTAAGTCAAGTTCATTTCCTTTTCTGGTATTCGTATATGTTCGTCATGTTGCATTTGGATCCCACTTTTTTGATTCTGGATACTAGTGGATCTAGGATTTAATTTGGGGGGGAGAGGACTTCAGCCCGATTTTTTTTTTTTTCATACATATAACTATAATTACTTTGAAAAAAAAAAGAAAGATACGAACTACCTAAATGAAATAGTGTTTAAGTAGTAAACGAAGTCCTATTAAATTTAATTACATTTAAGAAATAATTTTTCAATATTTTTTTCCACTTGTAGAGGGCAGAGGGTTCAGTCCGAAAGTCCCCCCCCCCCCTGTAGATTCGCATTTGATTCTGGAGGATAAATCTCATGGAATTGATCGATGACGAACACCTTTGTTACCTGAACGACGGCATCCCAACTCTTGTACCTAGACCAAATAGAAAACCTGTCACAGATGCATCTATTTGCTGTCCCAATATTACACCAAGGTTTTCTTGACAAGATCATGTTCTTGGTTCCGATTACATTTCTATATTAACGGACTATCACTCAGACATGGTCGAGAAGGGATGGATTCCTCCTGCGCGGGAATATTGGATCACATGCAAAGCTAACTGGTCTCTTTATAAAGAAGCAATTAATAATTTAAGTTTAATAAATCATCCTAGGTATTATTCCGATTTCATTTTTCTTTGATAAATCGGACTGCATCTAAAGATATTGCTTATAGAAATTTGACAAAAGAAAGAAAATAAATAAAAGTAAACCCAAAGTACCCAAGTATTAGTGGGACGATGAATGTAAAATATCCTGGGAGGATAACAGGGTGAAATTCGTTGTCTTTCTTTATTATTATTATTTAGAAGTTAAAAAGGCATCAGCCAAATGTACTAGGCTATTTTTTTTTTATTTCTTAATGATATTTACATCTGTATTAAAGAAATACATTTAGTAAATTTGAGCATATGGATATAAACACTTGTTGAGAAACTACCCAATGGTAGCACTCTAATGATATGTCTACATTAAGAGATCACGGAGCTTCTTTTCTTCTTCTTCAGACGGCTAGTTTTCGTAGATTTACTTTGTTCAGTTGACTTTTTAGGTTTATTTTGCTCTGCTAACTGTTTAGGTTTAGCTGATTTGTTTTTTTTCTTATTGGGTGAATTAGCTCCCGACCCAGGAAGAGGGTATATTATTCCATATTATGATAAAAGAGGGGGAAAAAAACTACATACATAACTATAATCAGAAATAAAATAAAACATTTCTTACAATAAATATTTAAATTAAATAAAACATTCTCTGGAAAAGAAAAAAAAAAAGTAAATATAATGTCTTGGGTTCGAACTGAAGACCTGATGACTGAAGGAAGTTAGTAAACATAGTCCCCGGCCGTGAACATATCAGAATATGATAAGGCACGTAAGGGAATTAACGGCCTCTCGATCTAACCAAATGAGCACCAATTTATCACTAATTTATTGTTAATAAATAGTACCTCACCTGCGTGTACGTCAACGTAAAAGTGTAAAACTGCTTATTAACTCACTGTTGTTTAAGTGTTACACCACAACTTTGAATATTGAGCACATTACAAAGCAACAAATACAGAGCGACATGAAAGTTATACTGCACTTGCGGCCATGACACTTGCTACCTTTTGCAAACTTAAATTTTTAACGGAAATCACGTGTTTTCAAGGAAATTAAATGAAATTTACCAACTAAATGTAAACTTTTTTAAGTTCGAAAAAAGTATTTCAAATTCATCTAATCAAGGCAATGACTTTGTTTAAAAAACTATTTCATTTTACTTGTGTGAAATAAGATGTGAAAGATAAAAATATTTCATGGATATTTTTATAACCTTGATTATATTTACTGTAGTTTAATAACTCTAGATCGTACATTATATTACATAATTATAATTACATAATTAACGTCCGTTTATTCCTCAAAATCGTCTTGCAACTTTTTAGAAAATTAAATCAGTGAATAATTTGATGCATTTCCCTTTGTAGAATCACAATATTATCATATATTTCTCTAAAGTACATGTCGAAAATTAATATCCGGAAATATTAGCCAGAAGGTATACGTATCGTTAAATATACCGTTGGAAAGCGGAGAATTAAAAAAACAATATCTAATATCGAAAGTTGTGGAAGATAACGGAGAATGGCTAAAGGGGACCCTACACGGTCAATCGGAATTGCACTAATGACGTTCCGAATTGTCGTGTAAGATAGTGAATGAAGTACTGATGGTGGTGCTTGCGGATTTCCGAACATCCGGAAATCAAAGGTTCATTCACGAGAAGTGGAGGGGGGACTGAGGTAAAAGTAGTGGGGAGACTAACCATACTGCTGGATAGGTTAGGTTACCTAGGCCTCACAACCATTATAAATTTCTGATTTTCATTATATGTAAATAGTTAAATAATTTTTCATATCCCTTGTTTATAATTTTAAACCATCTTCAACTATTTCTTTTAAATAGTCAAGTGGGCAACAAATTAAAAAAAAAAAATGAGGAAACTTCACAATTTACTTTAGGAAAAAAAAAACTTTAACGTTGTGTATATTTATCAGTTCTTTTCCCATTTTCCTCAACAAATTTATTATTTTCGCAATACCTTTCCTTAATTTTTGTAAGTAGTAGACTTATATTTTACTAACTTTTGTCAAAACGATTTTCTATGAGACTAACCTTACTACTAGATAGGTTAGTTTACCTAGGTCTCGTTATTAAGTAAATAATTTCATAAAAGTAAATAGTTGTTTATATCCCTAGTCTATATTATTATTAACCATTTTCAACTATTTTTTCTTTAAATAGTCAAGTAGGCAATAAATTGGAGAGAAAAAAAAGTGGAAACTTCACATAAGTAATGATCAGTAATGATTGAACGTGTAAAGGTCTTCATGATCAAAGCGATAGCGGGCAATCTTGGAACTTCTTGTGACGTTCATTCATGAATTACCGTGTAGGGTCTGCTTAACATTATTTCACGTAAATCACATGTTTTCAAGAGAATCGAATGAAATTTTCTTACTGAATGTAAACTATAAAAAATATTTTTAAGTTTGGCAAAAGCATATTTACACGGAATCAAGACCATGACATTATTTAAAATACTATTTCATGGAAATAGTGTGAAAGAAGAAGGCAAATATAAAATCATTTCATGGATGTATAAAGCATATGCTCATAACCTTACATACATTTAATGTAGTTTAATAATTCTAGATCCGATATTATATTTACATAATTAGGTATCAACGCCCGTTTATTCCAAAATACTGTCATATAACTTTTTACAAAATTAAATTAGTGAATAATTTGATGAATCTTCCCTTTGTGATATCCCAATAGTATCCACTACTATTCATTGTATTTGTGTGAAAGAATAAGTGAAATATAAGAATATTTCATACATACGTTTATTACCTTAAATATATTTACTGTAATTTAATAACTCTAGATCTGATATTATATTTAAATAATTAGGTATCTATCGTCCGTTTATTCCGAAAAATCATCACGTAACCTTTTAGGAAATTAAATTAGTGAATAATTTGATGAATTTTCCTTTACGATATCCTAACAGTATCCACTTACAATTATTGTGACAACTTTTGATCTGTCTATGACAGACAATGAAAATCTCGTAATTCCATTTTAGTAAACTTTGATATGGAAAATAACTGTTTAATAAATAATAGTCCTACAATCCATAATCAACGGATCGTACAGTCCATAATAAACGTATGTCTTTTAAAGCAATATAGCCAAATCTTCAACACTTAAAATTATCTTGCTTTTTTTCTAAACGCAACAGGATGCGAACTGTCAAGGTTTCAAAATTTGTAAAATCTGGCATAATGGTTTGTTTTTAACTAATTATCTGTTTTCCTCGGTGATGTAGCTCAAATCTTTAATTTTTTATAATTTTATTTCTTAATGATATTTACAACTGTATTAAATAAATACATTTTGTAAATTTGAACATACGGATATAATGACGTGAA